AACGAGATCCCAAGATGCACGCACGACCTCGGAGAGGAAGCGGAGGTGTACGAAAAAGAAAAAAAGAGAGAAACGTTGCCGTGGTAACCAGGGTAAACGCGGTATTGCTCTTAAACGCAAGATTTCACTCCATGTCTGGCGGGCGCCGAGACAAACCGCCCTCCATTCTCAGCCGACTGCTTGCGGAAGGAAGCGGGTAGAGCCGGCTATATGCCCGGCCCCGGCCGTCTTCCCGAAACTAGAAACTCGTTTCGCTTTGTTTATTGAGTTTTAGGTCATTTAGTTGTCGATGCGGGTATCGGGCATACAAAGCACCATTCTAGGTGTCGGAACGGACAGGTTCAAAAAAGTGCTGCTAGACTTACCTTCCACGCAGCCTTTACTCAGATTTCTTCAATTTGTAACGAACATTCTATATTTATTGTCGGGTGCAACTATATTTACAGGGATATCAACGCTCGGCCCCTTACATCGCGTATTTACGATTGAGCGTCTATTGAGACCTGTCTGTGTGTCCTTCTGTTTTTGTTCTTCTGTCTTGGGTTATCAAGACGATGAACACCTGTCTTTATTCTTGACACCCTTGGCGTCTGAATTCACTTTGTAGAGCTCTGGGTGCTGGAGAATGCTATCGCTGTATTTGTTATCATACTTACACGGGAGGCGTATAGATTATAATTTTGAGCGTGTAAGATTTAGAAACTAGAGGCGGCGCACTGATGAACAGACCTTACATTCGGTTGTAGGGCGAGTAGACGAAGTGGTAGGAGAAATCTTAAACAGACAGGAAGTTCAAAATAAAACAAACAAAATAACCACAATCATTTAAGAGTGTGCGTCCCTAACAAACCTATATTAAGCCTAAAAGTGAGGTTTCGGAATCTGGTATTACTGAATAGAAGTTCTCACAACCATCCCGTCTTGCGCAAATATAAAAAAAAGAAAAGAAATTAAAGCTACCAATATTTATGATGTCTTGGAATACGTTCATTGTAAAAATTACTTTGTTATCGCAGAAGCGCATATTGCATCTTACGGGTGGCGCATCGGTAAGTGTACACGATGCGTCAACTCTACTTTCACCCAACCCGGCCAAAAGAAGACATAAGCAAGAAATCAAACAAGTGAAAGGAAAAAGGGGAAAGCGCGCACAAGTAAGCGAGGTTATCTGGAACATATATGTAAATTAAGCTGCTAGAGTGTACTTTTTTCTCCGCGAAACAAATACATCCCGAGGAGTATAATTGAGGCAAGCGCGAGCACTGCAGTGTTTCGTTTGCTCAAGCAATTTAAAGCTTCAGCGAGCGCGGAACAACCCGAGCCCTCCCTTTCCCACGAATAAGGCAGGTCGTTCTGGGTCAAGCTTAAACTCAAAGCACACAAAGTCGTGTCCCGTTAATACGGGCCCGCCCCGTTAACATGTGTACTCTGTAGTCAACATTCTGAGGACGAACTGTGTAAATGCAAATAGTTTTTTTACTATTATTTAGAACAAGTTACACTACGGACGCTTTTATGTAATGTACTGTACATCCAACTCTGCAACGAACTCTTTTCCCCTATCTCTCTCTTTCTCTCCTTTACAGCTTTCATACGAGAACAAAGTGTGTCTACTTTGTCCTTGTATTTTCGAGCTTCCCACCCCAAAGACTGGGTAATTTAAACAAATGCGAATGTCGCGTTCTCGAAGACCAGCGGTGGTCCGAGCGATTTCATGTCTCCAAACTTGGGAAAACAACCCATTCAGCGCGGAGACGGAAGTAGCCAAGAAACAGCGCCCGCGTCCCGGGTTTTTAAGCGGGAAGGCATGGAGCGTGCCCATGCTTTGCGAAGCGGTTCCCGTTTGCGCTGTCCGGTCACGTCGCAGAGTGCGACCCCTGCTCAGCGGGTTCACTCAACAAACACAACGCCCGGAGAAGCTGGAAAACAAAACAAAAACTGGGAGTAAAGTAATAAAGAGCATGACTCGCATTTGTTTCGATGGAAACCACCGACGGCGATTTAGAGTTTTTTGTGGTTCGTGTCAAATTCAGTTTGCTTCTGATCTGTTATGGCACGCTGCTTTAGTTTTACCATATAACCGAGGAAAGTCAACAGATTCCCTCAAAATGTGATTGGTTCCGAATTTCTAACAGAACGAATGCAACATAACTTATTTTTAGTCTTTCTCGCATACTTTGTTTTCAACTACAAGGCTTATGTGCCCCACATTTATTTAGAGTTTTGCCACCCGAGCATATATGGTATAACCGCAATATAGATGCACTCTCAAACCACTGTCTTCTATGCCATAAAACCTCCAACTCTCGTTGGCGCGACGGCTGGTGTAGACTTACCAAACTGCTCTTGATTCCTAGCGCTGTATTTTTATTTTATTTCTCTATCGTTTCTATTATTCGATAGAGGTTGTATCGCTCGTGGTTTCTGATTTTGAAATGGGACATGATACTGGGGCATTGCGATTGTGCGATGAATGGCTCGAAGAAGTGTAATACACTGAGCGTTTAGCAGAATCCTGCATCGCACACAACCATTTTTCTTGGGCGTTAGAAACCAGCATCTAGAAGCTCACTTAAACGACCAGTTCTACTAGGTGACTACCTGACCGGCCGGTAGCGCAGTAGCGCTAAACTTTGATCGTATTTTGACTGGTTGCTTATGTTACCTGCCACAATGCTAAGGTAGACAATTAGACACTGTGGGCAGCCTGGTGATCCACAGCGTGCGACTAGGTTGCCCGCATGCTAAATCGTCTCTCGTGATTTCTACCGCGAGGCGGAGAAGCGCAATCGGCCACGCGAGCGGCGCTCCGACGCTGGTAAAAGACCGGCTCAGAGGTATGCGCGGGGCTTTTGGTGTCGCGGCGCGGGCGATAACGCTCAATAAATAACTAGCGCATGGTTTGAACCAGTGCGTTGTGTCATTCTGCGAACCGGGTAGAAGGGAGGCAAATTCTAGAACACTGTCTTTTGCCTTGACAGCGTATAACTATTTCTATAACCTTTGTCCCTTCACACTCGCATGTGGCATACCTCCAAGGGTATACTCGTAGGCCCGCCAAGCCGGTAAAAAAAAAATAATTTTAATTCGTGCGTGAGTAAGTAACTTTTGAAAAGAACCTCACTGCACAGCTGCTTGCGCAAGAAGAGGTTTTCTTGTTGTTTTTTTGCCTGCGAGTTTTGCGCATCTGGTCAAAAAAGTGCTACACATCACGTGAAACGC